TAATCTTTATAAATATAATCATGGTCTTTACCGCAAGAACGATAAAAGCTCGATATGTAGCTCTCTGCATGACCTTAATCACTTTACATACTGGACCTCTGTGGACGTCGTTGGTGCTTGGGACTGGTCAGAGCAAAGTTAATCAACTCACGAGATTAACGGGCCACCAAATGAGACCGGAAGGTGGCTATCTTAACTCGGGCGCGTTCGTTAGCGGAAGCCATGCGTTGAAATACTGGTCACTTAATATTCCTGTCTAAATCTTTGGCTTAACTAAGGTCTTCTGTCACTCAAGGTCACGAGAGACATGCCCCTCTGTGTGTTCTCAATCCCTGTTATTTATCCTTATTTATTCTTCAATGAAGATCTTCAATCGCGACACCACCATATTTTCTGGTATAAATTATCTACTGAATCAAAACTTTTGCGACCTTGACCTACAAATCTCCATTCACATCTATTTATACAAAATAACTAATTGAAAGTCTTCGATCCCGAGGTCACCAATATTTCTAAAAGTAAGTTACCACCCACTACTTGTCCAAGCTCCACATCTCATACAAATCAGTGACAGCCGTTTTTTACCACATGTCGATTTTGTTTATCATGTTTTCTTTGCATTTTATTGTTACTCCAAAACAATGTTCGTTCGTGAGCCTGGTGGTTCCGTTACTGTTTACATTGTGCTCATTTGTGACTAAGGCTAACATAGAGGATGTCGTCAAGGATACAGAAAACGCAAATCTTTCCGGAACACCTAGTCTTATTTTTATCGAACAATTTTAACACTCTCCGTGTAAATAATACTTTATTATTATATATTTCCCCCTCGTTGTATTGAATTATGTTGTAATGATATGGACGATGAAGTTGCTTCATCAGTGGAAAATGGTGCTACAAAATAGATGTGTCGGTTTTATTGTGTTCTCCACATTTTTATTTTTATTTATTTTTCTTTTTTTTTATTTTAACAAAACTTTGTCAAAACTTTTATCATTTATGTGATTACTAGTGTCCCTAATTTGTTTTAATTGAATTTGAGGTTTTATGAAACTGACTGACAAATTCGTAACTCCAGGGTTTAGAAAATGTAAGTTGATGAAAATAATGGGGAAGATTTATTGACGCCAAAGTGATCTCATGGAGAAATATTCTATTTCTTTTTGCGGCATGAAGTTGGACGTATTTGATGTTTGTTAGTTTTGCCTGTTGGTTCCCTGGTTGTATACCTTGTTCTCATTTGAGAACCTGACATTACTAACTTGACCAAGGTTTACATGGCAGTTGTCATCGGCTAAGCCGAAAACGATTAATCTTCCGGAACGCCTGGTCGTAATATCTTGGTAATTTTTTCTCTGTGTAAATCTTTCTTTTGTTGATATTTTGCCTATTTTATGGACTTTGGTTTTAATTAGGATTATATTGCCATGTTGGTATTTTCTCAATGTCTCGTGAAATCCTTCATGTGCTATTCGCCATGAATCTGTCAGACGTACCGTTTTAAATTTTCATTTGCTCACATTTTGCACCTGTTTCCTCGATCCAAAGCTGTACGTTTTCGTTTACCTGAATGTTTTAATCCTTTGTTTTCCCTGTATATTTCGCTCTACAAAACTGTAGAATCCATCCACGACAATGTCCCCAGTGGACCGGGTAATTCGGTCACGTAATCACAAGCAAGATTTTGTTGCCTGAACAAATCATTCTAGCTACTAATTTCCTAGATATTCCCAGTCGAATCAAGGTTTCTTGGTGCGGCAGCATGATAGCAGAGTCGACAATATTCAATACAGGGATTGCATCCATGACGTCTTCCGGGCGTACGTGGTGGGATATAAGTAAGAGGACTTGTATAAGGGCGTACGTGTGGAAGACATATTAGAGGGCTTGTTTTACGCTATATAAGGGCGTATGTTTGGAAGACATATAAGAGGGCGTGTATAAGGACGTGCGTGGTGGGAAATACATATGAGCTGTACACGGGCGTACGTGTGGGAAATATATAAGAGGACGTGTCGTGTCTTATGCTGTATATGGGCGTATGTTTGGAAGACACATAAGAGAGCGGGTCGTACGCTATATAAGGGCGTACGTGGTTGGAGATATAAGAGGGCGTTTCGTGTCTTATGCTGTACATGACGTACGTGTGGGAGATATATACGAGGGCGTGTTTTGCGCTATTTAAGGGCATACGTAATGGGAGACATATAAGAGGGCGTGTATAAGAGCGTACTGGATGGGAGATATATAAGAGGGCGTGTCTTGCGCTATATAAGGGCATACGTGATGGGAGACATATTAGAGGGCGTGTATAAAGGCGTACGAGGTGGGAGATATATATAATAGGGCGTGTCCTACGCTATATAAGGGCATACCTGGTGGAAGATATATAGGAGGGCGTGTATAAGGGCATACGTGATGGGAGACATATAAGAGGGCGGGTCTTTCGCTATATTAGGGCGTACATGGTAGGAAATATATAATAGGGCGTGTCTTACGATGTACATATAAAGTTTTAACACATCTACATTCATATAACCTTTTCCTAACCATTCAGGATTTAGCTCGTGAAAAATTACTTTATATTGATAGGCTTTATTCATTTGTTTGTCTTATGTACTTTCTTTTTGTATATGATTTTAAAGCCCAAAGGGAAGTGTTGGCAGGAAAATCTCGTATGATCCTCAAGTGTCAGGTGTTGTGCTGACTTGTTCAGGTGGTATATATTATATGCATACATGTGTACGGAAAGAGCACAGTAGAAAATGTCATATAATAGAAGCTCATTTGAGAACGTGACCTTACTTACCTGGATGGCTGGTGTCAGCGATGAAGCAGAAGACGTTTACTCTTCCTGAACACCTGGTCTTATTCTCCTCGTTTTGTTTGAATTTGGGTTTGGATGATTTTGTTGAAATGTAGGTGTTTGGTTGTTGATTTTCGGTATCATCAGTGTTTACATGAAGACCTACAAAAACTGATGACTTGAAAATGAAGATGATGGAGAATATTAGTCCGCTCCATGATTTTTGCGCGTAAACGAAATCTGTGCACCGACTTGTTTAAGTGTGAAAAATGTAAAATGCATTTGTAGGAGTTGTAAACCTGGATTGTAAGTAACTGTAGAATGTCAAGACGTTTTTAATTTTAACATCTGACATCTTCTCTTTTATCTTCTCTTAAGGATCAGAAGGAGGAATAATATGGCATGGAACAATTCATTGTACGTGGGCATGTAATATGTAACATGACTTTGCGGTACCCTTAGTTAGGATGATAGATAGTTCAATAAAGAAACTTTCTAAAAGGCGATAATTTATCTAAGTAACCTTCAATTTGAGGGTTATTTATTCTCAGTGCTCAGATGCTGTTTCACTGTATCTGTGTGGCTCATAATTCACTGTGGATAATGCTCAGTGTATCCTCAGTTTAGTCTATATTTCAATGTAAAAAAAAGAAAAAGAAATTCGCGAAAATTTTTACCTGTGAAAATTACCGACTATAAGGTGCCCCTCTCTGGGAGGTACTCTTATTTTCAATACTGCCCTCTGTTCTGGGTTTAAAAAATTAAGGTGCCTCTCTCTGGGAGGTACTCTTATTTTCGATACTGCCCTCTGTTCTGGGTTTAAAAAATTAAGGTGCCTCTCTCTGGGAGGTACTCTTATTTTCGATACTGCCCTCTGTTCTGGGTTTAAAATTTTAAGGTGCCTCCTACTGGGTGGTACTCTTATTTTCGATACTGCCCTCTGTTCTGGGTTTAAGAAATTAAGGTGCCTATCTCTGGGAGGTACTCTTATTTTCAATACTGCCCTCTGTTCTGGGTTTAAAAAATTAAGGTGCCTCTCTCTGGGAGGTACTCTTATTTTCGATACTGCCCTCTGTTCTGGGTTTAAAAAATTAAGGTGCCTCTCTCTGGGAGGTACTCTTATTTTCAATACTGCCCTCTGTTCTGGGTTTAAAAAATTAAGGTGCCTCTCTCTGGGAGGTACTCTGGGGTCAAACACCCTCTGTTCTGGGTTTAAAAAATTAAGGTGCCTCTCTCTGGGAGGATATATTGGCTTTTTCACTGAAAACATACTGCCATCTGTTCTGGGTTATATATATATTAAGGTGCCTCTCTCTGGAGGTACTCTTATTTTCAATACTGCCCTCTGTTCTGTGTTTAAAAAATCGCCGTATCCCACGTGCCCTGGGGTCAACACACCTTAAACATTCGGATTTGTAATTAACATTCTTTATGAGTAGATATATTGGCTTTTTCACTGAAAACATGTGTCAGTATATCTGTGAATGTTAACATATAGTTATATATATATTGAACATCATCTGGACCAGAGGAAGAAACTTATTTAATTAGAGATAGGTCAGAAATCGACATCCGCGTGCTCATTTCAGGGATGTAACTAGTATTGATTGTTTATGTAGAAGTACACAACATATGTACATAATTGTGGTTTGGTTTTGGAGAGGTAGTTACATATTTCTGACGTTGAGTATACTTATTTTTATTGAAAACGTGGGTGTCATCATCTATTTATTCTCCAATATACTGTCTTCTCTTTCTTCTCCACCTCTAACTATGCCTCCTTTTTTGTATGACTACATGCCTCTCTTAGCTCTATACAGCTGCACCTCCATTTTTTGTTTTGACAAAGCCTCGTGAAGCCTTCATCTGTTGTTTACTCTTTCGCCATTGTTTAGTTGTTATTTATTGATCTATTTTTGTTTTCTCGTTCTTATTTTGTTGTCTCCCTGTTCTACTTCTTTGCTTTGTGGTCTGTTTGTTCCCTGTTGAAGTGTTGTTTCTTGCTTCCCTACTGTTTTCCCCCTGTTTTGATGTCCATTCATTCCCCTGTTTTGATGTCCATTCATTCCCCTGTTTTGATGTCTCCTCGTTCCCTTATTTTGTTGCCTCGTCGTTCCCTTGTTTTGATGTCTATTCGTTCCCTTGTTTTGTTTTCTCCTTGTTCCCCTGTTTGTTGTCTCCTCGTTCCCTTGTTTTATTGTCTCCTCGTTCCCTTGTTTTGTTGTCTCCTCGTTCCCCTGTTTTGCTGTGTCCTCGTTCCCTTGTTTTGTTGTCTCCTCGTTCCCTTGTTTTGATGTCTCCTCGTTCCCTTGTTTTGTTGTCTCCTCGTTCCTCTTTGTTTTGTTGTCTCCTCGTTCCCCTGTTTTGTTGTCTCCTCGTTCCCTTGTTTTGTTGTCTCCTCGTTCCCCTGTTTTGTTGTCTCCTCGTTCCCTTGTTTTGTTGTCTCCTCGTTCCCTTGTTTTGATGTCTCCTCGTTCCCTTGTTTTGTTGTCTCCTCGTTTCTCTTTGTTTTGTTGTCTCCTCGTTCCCTTGTTTTGTTGTCTCCTCGTTCCCTTGTTTTGTTGTCTCCTCGTTCCTCTTTGTTTTGTTGTCTCCTCGTTCCCCTGTTTTGTTGTCTCCTCGTTCCCTTGCTTTGTTGTCTCCTTGTTCCCCTGTTTTGGTGTCTCGTCGTTCCCTTGTTTTGTTGTCTCCTCGTTCCCATGTTATGTTGTCTCCTCGTTCCCCCTTTTTTGTTGTCTCCTCGTTCCCCTGTTTTGTTGTCTCCTCGTTCCCCTGTTTTATTGTCTCCTCGTTCCCTTGCTTTGTTGTCTCCTCGTTCCCCTGTTTTGGTGTCTCGTCGTTCCCTTGTTTTGTTGTCTCCTCGTTCCCATGTTATGTTGTCTCCTCGTTCCCCCTTTTTTGTTGTCTCCTCGTTCCCCTGTTTTGTTGTCTCGTCGTTCCCTTGTTTTGTTGTCTCCTCGTTTCCCTGTTTTGTTGTCTCCTCGTTCCCCTGTTTTGTTGTCTCCTCGTTCCCTTGTTTTGTTGCCTCCTCGCTCCCCTGTTTTGTTGTCTTGTATTTATTTCCTATAATTTCCTATGCTATATCCTCTGGTATCTTATTTACCAATTTACTTGTAAAATCCAAACAGCTTGAATATTTAAGATTGGTCTGTTTCATCGTATCAAAATTTGCATTTACATACTCAATACCTTAAGTGTAACACTTTATTGATCTTACCCCATATAAGGGAACCCTCGAAGATTTATTTTAACACTCGTGAAATTATTCATCATACTTTATGGGATCTCCTTTTCATTATCGCTCGCTAAGTGATAATTGGGCTCCCTGAGAATACGCAACGTGTTAACAAATAAACTGTTGCCATAATCATATTGCCAGTCAATGATATAAGGTAATCGGATTACAGGTTATCAGTATTTACATGCTTCTAAGGGTCATTATGTCAGAAGGCGAAGATTTTTACGATTTTACAACAAAGTTGAAGCAAAAGTTTACAAAGACGCGCAAGTGGAGGGCATATTTCAATGTAGGGATTGAAAGAAAAATCAAATGTAGAAAACGCCATTCCATATACAGATTTTATCGGCCTTCCGCATGATGTTCATTAAAGTAGTAACCCGCCGCTAGAAGGAGTCCTCGTCTCCAAATTACTCTTGCTGTTCGTAGGGCGATACACCGAACACATAATAGATGAATATGTTTATATAATCTTTATTTTAAGAATAAACACTTTTTCACCATCAAGAAAAAAATAGTGATACCGTGCACTTTTAGATATTGAAATAAAACTTACATTATCCTAAAATACCACGTCTGGTTCTCCTTCTTCATAAAGAAGGGGAGATAAATTTCATCGGGAAAATGTGCTTAAGTGGAAGAAACCTTACTTATCTTGTTCAGAATTCGTTCACGATGAGGCTGAGGATCGGGGACTTCAGCACGGCCAATCACTGTACATACCAGCCGTATACAAATATACAATACATCAGTCCAGGTTTTAATTAAAGGCTTAAAGCCGGGTTACATTAACTGTATCACGTGATATCGTAGTTCTAATTAAATGAGGATTTCTCTTTAGAAATGTTTGACATTGTGGCTTGTTATCTGTGTAATATCAGATTAAGGCTAAATGAAAACAATATGGAAGTGGGCATGTCGGGATGGTTGTGGAATTTACTTTTTATACATGTCCAATACCACGCAGATAACATCGGAATCCCAAATAAATGAAGACATGGTTCTTTAATAGTGGTAACATGTAAAATTTATACATAATTTTCTCTATAATTTGATTTACTTACTCACAATATGGTAAGACTGATATTAGATACGAAGTGGGCTATTTTCATTAAACATTTATTACCAGGTCTGGTAGGCATTTATCCATTATATCAATTGTATTTCAATTTGTTGAAATCAAACACATCTTCCTTTCATCAGTGCTTAATTGTGTAATATGTGTATTTTAGTATACTTAAATTTAAATTAATTCATTGCAAAAGCAAAATATAAATTGATATGACAAAGTTACTTACTTTCCGTAACCAATAAATACCTCCGGAATTGATTTATCACGATAAATTAGTTTATATATTATATATATATATATATATATATATATATATGAAAGAATTTCGAGATCAGAATGAGGTTACAGCAAAATAAGAAAGGCGTGGGTTAGGGACAGCAACGGGTACTTAACATATGTGTGCGAATAATTTTATTGAAGATCATATGTTTGATTTTCCTAATCTTGTCGTCATAAGTATTGAACTATTATATACATACAAATAACCTTTTAGTAACTTACTTCAGGTCTACGTGTATTGTGTTATTTGTTACCTTAAATGACACCGCGCATGCGTGAACGGAAGTCATTTTTGTTCGCAGTAGCGAGATTTTCAATAGTTCTGAACTTTTGAATATGAAAAGTGAATTGTTTAGGAAACAAATGACAGGGATTTCAGATTTGGAGATCATGTATCGGTTTCTTTCAATGAACATTAGTGTATATTTATAATTTAGATGTGTACGACATCCCACGTTGGTCGCCTATGATAGTTGATAAAGTAAAGAATTCAAGTGTCTTGACCACTTTCGTACGAAAGACGATTTAGGAAGATTAATTAGTTAATCTGTGTATACCACACGACAAAGGAATTCTTCAAACTGAAATTCATTAAAAGTCGGACAAAATATGAACAAAAGAAAGATTTGCACGGAGACTCCTGAAAAAGTACAGGGAGAAAAAGACCATGTTCTCCGGAAGAGTAAGAGTATTCTGTTTCATCGACGACACCCGCCACTTCATCACTTTACACGAGGTGTCTGTACAACTGTGAATTATAAACGATCTCGTTTAATTGAGATTCATGAATTCATACTATCTTATGACGTAACCAATAACTGAATGATTCATAATATCGCTTTGACCAAATTCATTTCTATTTTCGAAATATTCGTCATACATGTATCACTCAACTCTGTTGTTTCGGAACTCCTCGGTTCGTATTCTATACTGTTACACACTCACAGATGTTTACTGTTCTGAAGTAATAGTACACATTTACGAAGCTCTAAATGATTCTAATTGTAGACTAATTATAGAAATTCCATTGAAGACTCTAAGAACCATTGAGGGGACACTTGCTATGTCTTACTTGAAAGAGAAACAGTGATAAAACTATATCTTGTTTCGTTATTTATGTGTTCAGGGACTAGCACGGGGGCAATAACCAACTGACAATGCCTGACACACAGGCCAAATCATCCATCGTGTATTCCCACAATAAAACAATACAGCTCCTGAATATTTCAAATGCTTTGGATAATTAGTAAAGAAGCCGATATGTACAGTTGTGTTATACATTAACAGTTTTAATGCACGCGAGGGACCACCATTGTTGTTTACAACCTGAGACACGTTAGAAGATCTTTCCGAGTCAGTGTTTACCGAACGGCATACATTCAAACTATTGTCGCTTATTTTACCGTATAATATGTCGTTTTAGTGGTGGACTGATTTTCGCGAAAACGAACTTTGAAAAATTGTGTAAACTGATGTTAAAAATGCCAACATTGGATTGAATATTATTTAAGCCTTGAAAGCATAGAATACGGGGAGTTTTAAAAATTATGAAAATCTTAATTGTAAAAAGTATGGGAAAATGATGACCGTACAACGCAATTTCCACGCAGTATACCGGATGTGGTCCTGAAAAATCCGTAGTCTTGACACCGGAAGTAGTAGCAGTACCATGATTTAGCCGAACTCTTGTCAGGGGTAAGCTCTTCGTTAGTTCGGTTAATATAGAAAAGCTCTGATAATAGACGCCATTTATAAATTGTTTGAAGACCTTATTGCGATAACTGTGATTCATATTCATTTAAACCTCGAGTACAGAACAGAGATAATCACAAAAGAATGTTAATATTTATTTATTTTATTAATCTATTTATTTATTTATTTATTTACTTATTTATTTGTACAATTTTTAGAATCGTCAATTGAATAACAGTTACCGTTCATGTTAAAACAAAACATTTCTATTAAAAAAACACGTGTTATCGTGAATATTGGAGAGAAACTGAAAATATTAGACAAGTAAGTAGCATGTCCGCTTAGTTAGCGAGAGGTCAACCAAAGGTTATCAAAGCTATTACACCGCCATACGAAATGAATTAAAGTACATAAAAAATCCTCGCCTCGAAAAAAATTATTAACGATGTGTCGAGATAAGAAAGTCTATACAGGCGATGACAGTAATTTTCCCGATATCGCGGATTGAAAGAATCTTGATGAATTTACTCGTTATCAGTTTATCAAAACTGCTTTTTTAAAAACAAGTAACGATTTTGTAACGGGAGATGCCATTATTAGGAAGAGAAGATAACGGTGTATATTTTTATTTACGTGTTAACGAGAACTCGAACACTGATCGCTGGTGTGATAGTCGGCACTCCGTTCTGTGTGTAATTTACACAAGTGTTATATTTCAATATAAAGCGGTCTTGATGTCCAGACAATCAGATCACTTGAAAGGAAATTATCGCTTCAGACGTGTCCATGATAGCATTTTAACAACTTTTTGGAAAGATTCGATAAAATAATCAGAAACAGGAGTTCGAAATGGTTGCTGAAAATAAAAATTGGATTTTGAAATTGTTTGATGTGAAGGGTTGATATATAACAAAAAATCTAAACGAAGACTTTGAAAATATTTCAAAACCCAAATCACATTGCTCTGTGTGAAAGATTTTTTTTTATCGAATAATTTTATTTCGGAAAAATAAGCCGAAATAGTTCAATTTATTCCTCTATACGACCGATTTATTCCGGAACGGAAAGCATGTTTATTACTACAGAATCAATCATGTGACGTCATTAATGCATCACTTATTTATGACGTCACGGTGATTATGACAATATATATAAGTTATTGAATTATGACGTTATTGCTTCTCGTCATTTGGATTTTTTTTAATAATTATAATTTTGTTTGTTTTTCGACCGAGTACGAATTTCCTAAGTTGCTTCCTAGTTTATTTTACTCTATATCTTTTTAGCATCACTGGCGAGTCCTAGAAGGACGAAACAGCTGAATGATGCAGTGTCACTCTTTATATGACTCTGCTATATCGTCTTTTAAATTTGTGATGTTGATCACTATTGGTTTATGTGTCTTTTGTACAATCGTAAAAGTCATGCAATGTTTTATCTGTTAGAACACAAGCAATACGAAAACTGAGCATCCTTAATCAGAAGTGCTCTTTACTCGTATCCTTCTGGAAACTGATCCCGACGGATGTTCCCTTTCTAGACAATAAATATAAATAACAAATTAACATATATTTATCTGCCTCCCACTCTCTCACCTCAGAGAATTTGAAAATACCTTATATACTGGTCTCTTAATCCGCCCCAGCCTCGCGTCTTAACAATCTGTGACAGTTTTGCCGTTGATGAAGATCCAGTTGAAGGTTAAAGAGACACTATGTGAAGTCCATAAATACTTCAGACTTCATCAATGTTGTAAGCGACTCCCCCGATGATCGTATAATACGTCTGAAAACGGGGGGAAATTAACCTCTCTTTCATTTTCGCCTAAAAAGTGCAACGCCCGTTAAGCACAAAACGTTTATCCTTCCGAAACACATGGTCTTATCTTCCGTATATTTTTTAGGGATCTCTGTCTAAATCGCTCGTTTTTACTGATTTTCGTTCACTTTAAGTTTGAATTCGGGTTTTGTCGCCAATTCGCTCTATTCCTTGATGACCTTGTCTCCACAGTATTAGTCATCATCTCTTTCCTAAAATCATCAGGGCTCGATCAATTTTTTTTGCACCAAGACATTTCGTTGATAAAGATTTAGAAAACTAGGTACATGCGAACTAGGTTAAACTGGAAATAGAACTGAAATCAATTAGCCAAAGAAGACCTAGATGGGTCAGTCTATTGTCTTTTTATTAACCTCGTCGGCACAGACATAGGGGCACAAACACTGGCTGTAAGTAATAGCCTCACTTGTAAGTAGTCAGTGTATCCTATAGGTACATGAACTCCGTATTACCGCTAGTCGCTACATGTTGACAGGTTTTCCATTGTTCCGGATGGCCTTTCGACATCCGGATTTTGTCGGAGAGAACTGCATTGACCTCAGGATATATATAGGTATCACCAAAGGACAAACAATTCGCCTTAATTCAGTCAACAAATTCGATTTATCATTAAAGTTTTTGTAAACATCGTATACTATTATTTTTGCAGGGATGGTATTTTCGCTTTTTGTGACCGAAAAATATTAATCTGTGAAATTATACCATCCAAATTACGAAATTTTCATTCGTTAAAATATAATTCAACCATTTTTTTTTTTTTTCATGTTTTCTTAATTAAAAAATCGCAAAAAAATCTCGACCCATGAAAATTTCCAGCTACAATGTTTATGTACAATACTTTAATTACACTTAATATAGTGTTAAACATATTTTGCAAATTAGCGCAATGCGCATCCGCAATAATTACGATGTGATCAGTATGTTTAAAAGAGGTACATTCAGAGAAGCCAGCTCTGAAATCAGGGCAACGTTAATCTATATGTATGTTTATGAGTCATTGCTTTGTCAATCACGGTCGGTCCATGTAAGTAATGTCACATTCTCAAAATTAGAACAAGGTAAGAAACAACGGAACTACAGGCAAATTAAATTTTACATTAAGTTACACTGATTATCGATATTTTCGAGAAAAAAACCCCGAGAAACGTTGAATGAGCACGTTTTTCATGTCCAAAGCTGATTATTTGAAGTTCCGATTCCACTTTTAGCAAAAAAAAAAAAAAAGAAACAAGAAAAAAAACCCCAAAAAACCCTTTCCGAAGTTTATGAAGCAGACAGCGATTATTTGTAGTTCTAACTATAATAACTATATATTTTTTTTATTAAAGTAACAACGGTAATACTTTAAACCTATGGTATTAGGCGTCACTTGTCTTTAACTTAAAAGTACATCTCATTTGTTTACATAAGGTTTGTTTATGATATGGTTATCAAAACATGCATGGCAGGCACCTTGTTCGAGAATTTCGAAAATGACTAATTCCTGGCTAACATTAGATAAATTGTTAGCATTTCAAAACTTGTACGAAACTGACGGTAACAAATTAGCTTGGGCATGAAGTGAGATCGGAATAGAATGATGAGGAAGGAATAAGTATGTTATGACTACCAAACAGGTGTTTTTGTTTGTGTACCTGTAATGTTTATTGCAATAAAGGGTTAACCATGTTATGGCTAATGGACTTTGGCAAATATGCAAACAAATCGTCAGTCAAGTTTGAGCAGCAGTTCTGTTTGTGTTTAGACACCAATTATTGTTTCTTTATGTTTTGTGTGTATGAAGCGCAAAACCAATATCTATTCTTTGGTAAAATCAATTAAAATCAATATTACCTATTATTACGTCATATTAACGGATCCGCTTGACTCACCTCAATTTTATAGAATGACGTATCATAGACTGGTCTAATGACCCAGTGGTAACCCGCTCGCCTTTCACACAGGCGGCCGAGGTTCGATTCCAGGACTTGAATAGGTAAGAAGTCACATGCCATACCACGTGAGTTTTCACCCAGGTAACCAGTTTCCTCCCACAATAAGACCCCTTCGCGTTCTTGCATCCAGGCCAACCAGAGTGATTGAAATAAGTTTAATGATTGTTTTGCAATTCTTGTAAAATAAATAAGGTTTATATCATATTCCATATCCAAATGTGCAAAGACTTATTGTCAGAAAATACTTCGCTCTTTCTTGCTTTTTTCAAAATTCCTGATTGGTTTTATCTGTTCTGTTCTGTTTTTTTTTTTTTTTTTTTGAAATCAAATGCGACCTCAATTGGTGGTCACCAGTGCGTTTTAAACGCTGAATTACACCGACTTGGAAGCTCATGGTTACCAAATCAATTACCTCCTTGTTGTTCAGTTCCGTTCTGCTCCAATTATACAATATGTGTAAAAATGAAATTTCTGGTATATCCTGTCACGTGTCAGAACGTGTGTTTTATCATGTACACGTGATACACAGAGAAAGTACAAAAAAAACAATGGCTCTAACGATCTTAATTTATCTATCTCAATTTTGATCGTCCTCAGTTGCTCTCTACATCGCAATACCTTAATCCCTTAAACTACTGAGATACAGGTCGAAACAGCTGTGTTGCAGTTCACGTGTACTACAAAACAGCTATCAAGATATTAATTTTTTTATTTAATCCAAAGGTATATAACCAATTTTTTTTCTAAAGTCGATGTTTTTATGTGTGGATATTTTGAATAAAACGACGTTACAAACAAAAAAAACATGCTACGAATTTACATTGAAGGCGTTGATGCATAAAATCAACTGAACCATGCAGGTAGTTCGTGTATCGATGGAGCGATAGGTCATGTTTATAATAGATTAGGTTTTACATGTTACATACATAAACAGGCCGTTTTATACTATGAGTACTATTGTGTTCAGCACAAGTTACTTTTTGTGGTTTTACCAAAAAGTAAAGTAAAGTGTATCGATCATAGCAATTGTTTTCTCCGTCACGTCATTTTTTGAGAGATATAATTTTCCTGTTATACTGTGAAATCATAAATTTTCATGGGTTTCAAATTTCGGGGTTTTTCAAATAATTACAATTTCGTGGACATTTAATTTTGTTGATAAACAAAACTCAATCAAATGTCCTTAAACTAATTTCATGAATTCTTCGACATATGAATTCGTGTATTAAAGGTATCCGTGAAATCAAGGAAAATACATCCCCCACAAAAATTAATGATATATACAGAATTCTATTTTAAAAAAATCAACAACAACTACCAGCATGTCAGCATAATCATAATCCAAACTCAAATTCAATAAAACCAGGACATCCCTCGAAGTAACAAACAGCTAGTAAAGTAATATCTAATTTCGCTGCTCAGTACAACGAGACAGCGGTTCGGCTGTTTTTTGTAACATATGTGAAATAGCCGAGCATTCCATTTAAGTGTTTAAAATTTTGCGTCACGAACCGAACCAATCCTGTGTCACTGATAGATTTGAGCGACTAGACGCTCAACTCTAGAGTAAATTAGAATGCGTAACAAGTTTCAAGCCGTCTGGTGGTCCCAGTTAAATTTGTTTACTCTAATAAAGATGATTGGCTGTGTCCACATGGGAAATGTACCACCTGGAGAATTGTGCACCCCAACAGCATGTACTATTTGTGTACATTGGGGAAAGCACAAACTGAATTCGATAAGTGAGTGAGTTGTTCAAACCCTCAACGTTATCTCAGATAAATATTTTTGCATCAACCGTTAATTAATTTTCATGGCCTTTGTTACAGGGTGGACACCGCCGACGCAGTAATGCTTTGTGGAAATAAGATATTATCATTATTGAAATAGACCAAAAACCTTGTGAGACTCACTAAAGAACCCAACAGCGTAGCTGCGTATAAGCAATCTTCGATTTCCAAATTAAAGCATTATGTATATTGATGATAACAAGTCTGCTTGAGAAACAAAATCAACATAATTTTTATTTAAACGATATCACTAATTTTTATTTCATTGTCGTATTGGACGCAGCTGTTGCCTTTCCATATGTTGTTCCTAAATATTTCTTTACGTTGCAGTAAGTTCCCTGTTACTTTAGGTCCTGCTGTGGTGTTCCTGAATGTCCCTCCATTTTCCAGTTAGTTCCCTGTTACTTTGGGTCCTGCTGTGGCGTTCCTAAATGTCCCTCCATTTTCCAGCTAGTTTCCTGTTACTTTGGGTCCTGCTGTGGTGTTCCTAAATGTCCCTCCATTTTCCAGTTAGTTCACTGTTACTTTGGGTCCTGCTGTGGTGTTCCTAAATGTCCCTCTATTTCCAGTAAGTTCCCTGTTACTTTGGGTCCTGCTGTGGTGTTCCTAAATGTCCCTCTATTTCAAGTTAATACTCTGTTACTTTGTGTCCTGCTGTGGTGTTCCTGAATGTCCCTCCATTTTCCGGTTAGTTCCCTGTTACTTTGTGTCCTGCTGTGGTGTTCCTGAATGTCCCTCTATTTCAAGTTAGTACTCTGTTACTTTGTGTCCTGCTGTGGTGTTCCTAAATGTCCCTCTATTTCAAGTTAGTACTCTGTTACTTTGTGTCCTGCTGTGGTGTTCCTGAATGTCCCTCCATTTTCCGGTTAGTTCCCTGTTACTTTGGGTCCTGCTGTGGTGTTCCTAAATGTCCCTCCATTTTCCAGTTAGTTCACTGTTACTTTGGGTCCTGCTGTGGTGTTCCTAAATGTCCCTCTATTTCCAGTAAGTTCCCTGTTACTTTGGGTCCTGCTGTGGTGTTCCTAAATGTCCCTCTATTTCAAGTTAGTACTCTGTTACTTTGTGTCCTGCTGTGGTGTTCCTGAATGTCCCTCCATTTTCCGGTTAGTTCCCTGTTACTTTGTGTCCTGCTGTGGTATTCCTGAATGTCCCTCTATTTCAAGTTAGTACTCTGTTACTTTGTGTCCTGCTGTGGTGTTCCTAAATGTCCCTCTATTTCAAGTTAGTACTCTGTTACTTTGTGTCCTGCTGTGGTGTTCCTGAATGTCCCTCCATTTTCCGGTTAGTTCCCTGTTACTTTGGGTCCTGCTGTGGTGTTCCTGAATGTCCCTCCATTTTCCAGTTAGTTCCCTGTTACTTTGTGTCCTGCTGTGGTGATCCTGAATGTCCCTCTATTTTCCAGTTAGTTCCCTGTTACTTTGGGTCCTGCTGTGGTGTTCCTGAATGTCCCTCCATTTTCCAGTTAGTTCACTGTTACTTTGGGTCCTGCTGTGGTGTTCCTAAATGTCCCTCTATTTCCAGTAAGTTCCCTGTTACTTTGGGTCCTGCTGTGGTGTTCCTGAATGTCCCTCTATTTCAAGTTAGTACTCTGTTACTTTGTGTCCTGCTGTGGTGTTCCTGAATGTCCCTCCATTTTCCGGTTAGTTCCCTGTTACTTTGGGTCCTGCTGTTGTGTTCCTGAATGTCCCTCCATTTTCCAGTTAGTTCCCTGTTACTTTGTGTTCTGCTGTGGTGATCCTGAATGTCCCTCTATTTTCCAGTTAGTTCCCTGTTACTTTGTGTCCTGTTGTGGTGATCCTGAATGTCCCTCCATTTTCCAGTTAGTTCACTGTTACTTTGGGTCCTGCTGTGGTGTTCCTGAATGTCCCTCCATTTTCCAGTTAGTTCCCTGTTACTTTGTGTCCTGCTGTGGTGTTCCTAAATGCCCCTCTATTTCAAGTTAGTACTCTGTTACTTTGTGTCCTGCTGTGGTGTTCCTGAATGTCCCTCCATTTTCCGGTTAGTTCCATGTTACTTTGTGTCCTGCTGTGGTGTTCCTGAATGTCCCTCCATTTTCCAGTTAGTTCCCTGTTACTTTGTGTCCTGCTGTTGTGTTCCTGAATGTCCCTCCATTTTCCAGTTAGTTCCATGTTACTTTGTGTCTTGTTGTGGTGATCCTGAATGTCCCTCCATTTTCCAGTTAGTTAACTGTTACTTTGGGTCCTGCTGTGGTGTTCCTGAATGTCCCTCCATTTTCCAGTGAGTTCCCTGTTACTTTGGGTCCTGCTGTCGTGTTACTGAATGTCCCTCCATTTTCCAGTTAGTTCTCTGTTACTTTGGGTCCTGCTGTGGTGTTCCTGAATGTCTCTCTATTTTCCAGTTAGTTCCCTGTTACTTTGTGTCCTGCTGTGGTGTTCCTGAATGTCCCTCTATTTCCCAGTTAGTTCCCTGTTACTGTGTGTCCTGCTGTGGTGTTCCTGAATGTCCCTCCATTTTCCAGTTAGTTCCCTGTTACTTTGTGTCCTGCTGTGGTGTTCCTGAATGTCCCTCCATTTTCCAGTTAGTTCTCTGTTACTTTGGGTCCTGCTGTGTTCCTAAATAACCCTCTTTTGTCAAGTTGTTTTGGTCCTAAATGTTCTTCTATTTCTGAATTGCTCTAATGTTATTTGGGCCCCATTTTTGGTTTTTCAATTTTTTTTCAATTAGTGTTCCCTAATGACCATTTAAGTTCCGGTTGTTTGGTTGTTGACTTAAACTTAAGTATTTCCATACAAGCTCTTTGATGTCTCCTCTCTGTTCTTTCAGTTGCTGTCGTATTATTTTGCCATTTTAAAGGAACTGTTGAAGTTTTTTGTGTTAATTTGATATCACTTTTCCTATAATCGTGTCACATATGTTGAAATTTGTTTTTACATTGGTAAACAAACTCTCTTCAAATAGAGATTTGGTTAGATATTTCTCGTGAAACACTCACATCATTTCATATTCGTTTTCCGTCTGTCTGGGTTACTTTTCAGATTTTTGCACTTGCCAATGGGATCTGTTTCTTTTAACCGAGTCATAATAAAAATAAATGTTTGTTGTTGAAATATTTTAAGCTAATGACCATATTAAACTCATTGAATGATTATTGAACATCTGTTTTTATGTTTACGAATAACCTTTACTTACAATGGCCTTTCTGTACCTTGACACACCTGCTACAACTTTGTGTACTGTACGTTATATTTACGGTCGAGGTATTATGCTAATACCTAATACTACATTGACATTATAAAATATTTCCTAACGTCTATTTCTATAATGATCGTTTTGTTGTATAACAACATCTGTTATAATAACATATGTTTAGTTCAT